AGGAGGTAAAGGTGGTGGTGGTGGTGGTTTGGAAAGATAAGGTCTAAAAAGAAACTGCTTCAGACTCATCTATTTTCTTCCCTTTCTTTCAACTGGTACGTGAGGTGTATCCAGGGACACTAAGTAAGTTCAAGTGGAACTGAATTCATCAAACCTTTGATTGGTATTCCTATTTTTAGAATGTGTTTTTGCAGCAGAAGAAATGATGTAGCCTGAGCAGAGCCAGCTCACATGGAACATTAATTCTTAGATTCCTAGCAGGGAGATGGTGTTTGCCACTTCAGAGCAAGGTACTACTGTGTCAGACCTGTAGCATCCATATTCTCAAATCATAAACACTATGCAAGCAACATTCATAAGTCAGGATTACTGTACTCTATTGTCTGTGCTGTGGATACAATAAAATGGGTTTCAATTTTCTTCCTTGAATACTACATTATGATTTAAACCAGCATACAACCCTCTCTGCATATTATTTGATATGCTGCTTATAATGACAATATTGTGGACTGCTGATACTTTTCTAGCATATTATTAAGTCCTAAATAAGAGAAAATTCCCATGCTAGGTTTCACAGGGAGCATCAGAGTATTTTTTATCCACCTCCCTGAGTGAATTTGTTAGACCCTTCTGCACATACAAAGGGACAGAAATCTATAAAACTATGTGCTAAGTATGTTTATTAACTCAGGTTTTTCTTACTGTAATAGAAAGCTAATAATGTTTTATAAAATGAATTCTCATTTAAAAATTTCATATTTTTTTTCCTCCTTCCTTCCTCCCTTCCTCCCTCCCTGCCTCCAATTTTGGCTTTTTGGTAGTTAATTGGAGAGAAGAGTATCAGAGACATTTCTGTCCAGGCTGACTTCAAACAGTAATCCTCAGGTAGTTAGGATTACAGGTGTGAACCACTAATATCCCACTAGCTCTTAATTTCCTTAAAACAATAATTGGCGAGAGGGGGGTGTAGAAATGATAGTAATAGCGTTTTCTTCTTGCCTCAGTATCTAGTATTCCTGCCTGCTTCATTTTTGCACAATATCTATTGGGCTATACACACTTGCACTTGAGGTCATGGTCCCCTTTTTTAAGTAGAACCAGTCCATGTTTCCCCAAGTGTTAAGGGAAGAATCCTGTCCTCCACAATTTTATATGTTAAAACACTAACATCTCAGTACCCCAGAGTGTGGAGGGGCAAGGTATTTATTGAGGTCTTATGAAGGCAATCCACTTAAAATGAGATTATCTTCTTAAAGTGAATTGTAAATTAATGTAAATGTTATCCTCATAAGAGGAGGAGATATGGACACACACACACACACACACACACACACACACACACACACATGAGGGAGAGTATCATATGGAAATGAAGGCTGAGGTTGGGGTGATACAAATACAAAGCCAAAGAGTAACAAAGACTTTCCACCATACCAGCAGAAGCTAGGAGAGAGGCATGAACAGATTCCTTTCTCTGTTTTCTACCAAGTCCCTTTATTTGTCCAGCAAGGGGCTGGACTTGACAGGGACATTCCTGGAGTTTGAGCCTGGGGTCTACAATCCCAGTTTCAGCTTTATGGAAGCCGACATTGTTTTCTTGGGTTTCTTTCTCCATCCTTGACTTTAGTACTATTTTTGGAATGTTGCACATTATTTGTCTTATGCAATGAAGACTATTAAGGTAAAACTATGTCTTCCATCTTGTTCTTGCATGAAGACTGCAAAGCTGGACACATGGTTTTTCAAAGAGCTCTAGATTTCTGGTTTATTATGGTAGCTGACTTCCACAGCCCAAGAGGAACACAGATTGATGGCGTCAAAAATGCAAACTCTATAACAGTTTTCTAGAGTCTTTTAGTTACTTTTTATATAAGTAGGCATGCCTGTTGTATAAAGTGACCAGATGGCCTAGTTTAAGATCCAGGGAGGGCAAATAACTACTTAGGAACCAGAGCTAGAAGCCAGAATAGACAGGTCAGTCACTTGTAGGCTCTCAGATTTCCTCTTCATTTTGCCCTGGCTTTGGGATGAATAACTAGCTGGAAGCACAGGGCTGGACTCCCCTTATAAAGAGACTCACTTCTTAGACTCTTTAGGTGGGAATCCGCAGCTGTGTTACCTCAGAGATGGTTTTGAGATGCTGATTAGGCCTTTCCACCTGATTTGCTGAACTCTGAACCAGCTATCGATCTGTTAAGATCTTCTGACATCCTCTCCTTCAGGCTAGATATGGCTAGAGGTGCCATAGGTCTTACCAAAGGAAAGAAACTCTTTAGTGGAAAGAGTGCCTACAGAGGAAGCAGATTCTGAACAAGGATGCAGGACTGCTTGGAGCCTTGAATAATGCCAGCACTGCCTTTCCTATTTGTGCCGCTCCTTGGTTGGTATGTATTCTTCTATCCATAATGAGAGAAGGCTGGGAATGAACATGTCGTAGGTAAACTTTCTGTGGGTTTTTATAAGTTCCAGGAAGTATTTATGTCTTGTTAGACAAGAAAGGTGAGGGTGGGGTGTGTGTGGGGGGAGAGATTTAAAAGACAAGGTTTTGAATACAGAGCGCTCTTTCCTGTCATGGGCCGGCAGCGTTTCTTTCTGCTCTGGGTTTTTTGTTGCCATGCTGCTGGTGATGGAGGTGGAATGTGGAAATGCGTTCAGGTAGGAGAGGCTAGGGGTTATGTCTCTTATGGGGAACAGCTGTAGGGTAGTGAAGCCCTTTCTCATTTCTGTCACCTGCCACGCTGGACAGTCAGATGGGAGGGCATCTCACTCCATTCCCAGAGGAGTCTACTATCTTCCCCTCACACAGCCAGGGCTCTGCTTGCACTGTGACAGAGGAGGGGGAGGAATTACAACAAAGGGCATACATAATTAGGGGTGGAGCTGAACTCTGGGAAGAGGGGTTAGGGTCAAAGATCTCCTCTTGTTGTTCCCAAGTCCCTCCTTAGGATAGTGCCATTTTTATCCTGTGTACCTCCCACCCACCCTCAGAGATGAGATTTGACTATATGTCATCTGGGAGAAGAGACCTGGGAAGGCTGAGAATATTATGTCCAGTGACATTGGAAGCATAATCTGGAACAATGATACCCAAAAAAAGCACTGACACTGTCTGCACATTGTCCACTGTAGGTACAGTGAACATTGGCTCTAAAGCATACCATGTTAAGAGAGAGAATCCTTTGAGCAGCTGCATAAGGAAGAGAGCAGATCAATGGACAGTAGTTCATAGGAGTTTCAATTTAACAGAAGAGTGTTCAGCAATCAAGCTCACTGACTATGGACCATATTCTCTAAGAGGTCCATTCTAAGAACTTAAGAAAGACTTTGACAGGACTCAGTGGTGCCTGTCTGTAATCCAAACTACTCAGGAGGTGATTGGGAGGATCATGATTCAAGGTCAAAACCTGGGCAAAAAGTTGATCCCATATCAACAAAAAAGCTGTGTGCAGTGGCCTGTGCCTACTAGGGAGGGGGCTGTAAATAGAATCAAGATCCAGGTCTTGGTTCAAGAGGCACAGCATCTGCCTAGCAAGTGCAAAACCCTGAGAAGACCTTGAGTTCAAATTCTAGTATCATCTAAGACAGAGAAAGATCCAGACAACCATGCTGTGACCATGTATATTTAATGAGTATGGATTGAGGTCATAATATGAGGCCAATTTATCCATTAGTATTGACCACTTACATAGCCCTGTATCATTGCACAACATATTTCAAGAGAAAACTAGATTAATTCTAGGAAGAATCTGCCCTTAAGTAACAAAATAGATTAGGTGAGAGGGAAGAAGACCAGCACAGTGTTGGACAAGGTCCATGCCTACATCTCTACCACTTTCCTCATCTGGGGGCTGTGAAACTCAGGGGTTGCTGGGAGGAGTAAATCAAACGTTAACAGATCATTGGGAGCATGTGGGACAAGATATTGTTTTAAATATTTATATTAACTTGTTTAATTTTCTCAACTCACTGTTTTGCAAACACTGAATCATAGGCAAAGTGAATCAGAGAATCAATTATTTGAAGCTATGCAATTAGTAAGAGGCAGAATTAAGATTAAATCCCCATAGACTTCAACATATTCTACAGACACTCACAAGTGTCTGTACAATGTACATGTTCAAGCTGTTTAAGTACTACCACAGAGAGGAAGCATAAATATGTCTATTCCATAGAGAAGCTCAAAAATGAAATGAATACATGTAAAATATTTACAAAAATGCCTAGAAAAGAAATGCTTGGGCTGGGAAAGTGGTTCAGTGGTAGAGTGCTTGCCTTGCATGCATGAGGCTCTGGGTTCGATTCCTCAGCACAACATAAGCAGAAAAAAGCCAGATGTGATGCTATGGCTCAAGTGGTAGGGCGCTTGCCTTGAGCTGAAGAGCTGAGGGACAGCGCCCAGGCCTAGAGAATTCAGGCCCCACAATTGACCAAAAAAAAAAAAAGCTCAACAAATACCACCCAATTCTGTAAAAACAGGTCCTAGACTGCAAATACATACCTGAGTGTTTACCAATAAAACAGGAAGCCATGCTTATATCTTTAATATACACACATAGATAACCACTCAAGAAAGACCCAGAGTAGTAATGAGGCAATGCTACCAACCATTTAACAGTACAGAAGAGTGTGATTTTTCCATTGTCCTGTGCTTAACCAAACTACAACTCCGATACATGTAAGTCTTCAATCCTCTTGGTGAAGATGATTTTTTTAAAATAGGTGATTCATCTCCCTTGAAATCTGCCTTTTTGTTCTCTGTCTAAAAAACCTTGACTCAACTGAAAATTTTAAGACTTGGCTGAGTGAAGAAGAGGATCTACGAAAACAAACCCATAGACATGACTAGTCTATAAACCCTGGCAGGTATTCTCAATTGGTCTTTTATGCCGTTACATTGTTCAGAGACACCAAGGATGAGCTGGGATGGAGATCACATAAGTTTGCTACAATCTGGAGAGCGAGGTCTCGCTCTAGGATGGCAGAGGCTGCTGCTGTCCTACCTGGTGAGCTTGGTGCCAATCTGCTGCCTTAGCTCCAGCCTCTCCTCATCCGTCTGCCTGGGGAGAATGTTCTTTTCTTCTAGCTCTCGCTTGGAGGGCCTGTTGCTGAGTTTGATGGCTAAGGAGTCCTTCCTGCAGACCTTCATGGCCAGGGAGCCTGCAGGAGAGAGAAGTGAATTCATTGACACAGACAAATACCTGTGTGGGCTCCCATCCAGTCAACTGTGGATTATAGGGTAAAAGGCAAGACAAAAGACCCCAAAAGACTTTGATCAGGCCTCCCTTGGTAGAATCTCAGCCATCTCTATACTTTATATGTATGTAACACTGTACAGGGCATGTGGGGGAGACATGGGGAGCATGTGATTAGGTCTCTCCTTCTGGAAAAATCCTAGCATGTAGCCAACATTACAAAGGGCAAAACTAGCTGTGGAATGCTACCCACTGTAGAGGTAAGAAGAGGACAGAGGCCTTCGTAGGCAGGGAAGGCTTCACTTAGGAGGGGCTGGAGGGACTCCCACAGCAGGAGGTTGGTGGGAATCTACACCTGCTGCAAGATAGGAACTCCCAAGAGAGCTATTCTGGAGCTGGGTAGGGGAGGGGGAGAGGGAGAAGCAGGGTATGTATAAAAGATGAGGTGAGGTAGGCTGGGATGGGAGTGGAGGTAAGGATTTTTTTTTGTTTTTAACATACAATCTATGTTCGTATATATCGATAAAAGCTGGCATTGCTTTTGCCCCCAGAAAGCAGCTGAAAAAAAAATGTAAAGGCATTTTTGGTTGATAAAACTGAGACTGCAGTAGAGAAGTAGCTACTGGCATCTAATGGAGAGAAGCCAAGGAGGTTGCTAAGCAGCTTAAAATACCCAGCACAGGCCCCACCACCAAGAGTGATCTTATTGCTGTCTCTCTCTGAGTCTCTCCACTACATCACTTTGGTCATTTTAGCTCTCTGAAGCCTAGTAAGCAGAGAGCGAGAGGAGGATACTAGCTAGCAGCAGGCTCAAGGATTCCTTTGGATCTTTACTTAGCAATGCTTTCTTTTCTTTCATCCTGCATAGGTTTTATTGGCTTTGGAATCAAATCCCAGAACTGCCTCTTGGCACATGCAAGGCTTTGAGCCAGTTCCCTCACCTCTGTTTTCTGTTCTTATCTATAAATTGGAATAAATAATATCTACACTTCAGGATAGTTGTAAGATATGCGTAAGACAACACAGTACTTTGCTGGGCACACAGTACGTGTTCAATAAACGAGGGCTGTTATTAGTAATTCAATTGTTACACACTGGCCAACTATCAGGCTGTACTCATATCACTAATGTTTATTTATTATTCAGGGTCAGATTGCTAGCTTTTGAACTTGGCTTTCTTCACATCTTGTCTCTTAATCTATTTAAAGGTCTTAAATGACAGATTTACATTCACACCTTGTAAAGTTGTTAAGGTTTGCTTAATAGGGATCTGTTATATACACAATGATTAATATTTCTGTATATTTTCTAAAGGGGAACAGATTTTTTTCAAGTCCCTTCAACTCTGCAACTATGCAATAAAGAAGGGTTGCATTCCCCAAAAAACAACAAAGGAGTCATGGTAGGATGGTGTTGCAATTTTTACAGCTATGAAAGCATTTAGGGGACGTTTACCCTCTCTTATTACTGCTGAAGCTGAGCTGCTCATTAACCCAGGGCCAGTAACACAAGACTTATGAGAGCCCAGAACCTGGGCATCTGGGTCAGTTCACTTTCTACAACACCATGCTCCACACCCCTCTCCCCGCCCTCCCACCATGGAGAGTTGGACGCACGTACTGGTGTACAGAGAGCTGTCATCATCTTCATCCTCTTCCTCTTCCTCCTCTTCTCTTGTGTATAGGCAAGAAGAGTCTTCATAGTCCGACTCATGAGGCACATTTTCTTTATTGTCATCACATTCAATCACAACAGTTGGCACTTGTCTTATTTCTGGAAGGCCCAGGGGTCCTGCTTTTGTGACACCGTCACTTGAGTGCAAACCAGAGCTGTGGTAAGAAGTGGAACAGGGGACTCGCTGCTCAGAACTGTTTAAAGAGAAGGAAGAAAGAGGAAACTCATTTTAGCTAACATGCCATCTACATGGCTGGGAACTTTGTACAATTCGGTTGCCCAGTCCTAAGTGGCAGGGCCCACCAAATGGCATCGACCCATTTCTCGCTATGTAGCTTACTGTAGCTCATTCTTTCAGGACAGTGGTTTCCTGATGGTGGCAGTGCCATGGAACAGGACAGAAGGATTCTAATTACCTGTGGATGCATGGCAGAGGTAGCTATACAACAATGTGGACATGGCCAATGCCACTGAATGGGACACTTTCAAAAGGCTAGCATGGCACTTTTATGTGTATTTACCATAATTAAACATTTTTTTTTTTTAAAAAAAGGAACCCAAGTCTCACAAATATTTCTGAATGAGATCACACTCTCCAAGGGACCAAAGAAAAGTTTACTTGTGACTCTCCTGTCTCATAGTAGGGGCAAAGTTGGAGATGAAGCCAGAGAACCAGGAGAGAGTTAATAAATGTGGTTCTAGTTCTCCAAAGCTATGCAGAGTGACTGGCAGGGACTGAAGGTAGGAAAGATGGATTGAAATGTCGCAAGAGCTGAAATTTGTTAGATGGAGTTGCCAGGATGAACAGAAGGCTAGAGACCCGTGCACAGACATCAAGGCAGGAAGGACTGAGATGACCTAGAGAAAGCTGTCTGCCAATGATAGAGTCAGGCCTCTGAAGATAGCTACAGGTAAGGTCAGCCTATTGCTTTTGCAAGATAGTTTTTCTAGAAGTAATGATGATGTTCCTAGTGTCAACTCTGAATAAATACTTTTTAAATTCTAATTTTATTGTCAAGGTGATGTACAGAGCTGTTACAGTTACATAAGTAAGGTAGTGAGTACATTTCTTGTCTAACTTACATTTTTTTTAATTAAAGAAAAAAAAAGCCATCCAACTGTTGCAGCTAGAAAATTAGGAAATGCACAACATCTGAAAGAAAGAAAATAGTTTTCTTGATAGTGTCTTTCTGCACTTTTGAATCCTTTTAATGCAGGAAGTCCAGCAAGAATAAAGAGAAATGTGGAATCAGAATATATAGTTACTGTTTTTCCTTAATAAAGATCGAACCCAGGACCTCATGCATGTCAGCCAAGAGCTCTGTCACTGAGCTTCATCTTGAGCCTGGACGACATTTTAATTCTTTTTCAGATTCACTACGTGCACAATTTTAATCCTTCACTTAAAGAATTTTTAAACACAGTAAACTCCTGTGGATGTATTTTGCCATTCTAAAGAAAGACAAAATAAAGAAATGGGCTGTAAGGTAATACCAGAGACCAACCTTCTACCTTCAAATATTTTATTCGAAAGAAATCATATGATACATACAAATCATTAGTTTTCTTGAAAGCTTTCACTTAAGCTTTGAATTATTGCCATGTCTCATTTAAATTCAGTTAACTTTCTTCCTTTCATTGTTTCCAAAGAACTGTTTCCAGCCTCTCTGCTTTGAACTTTGCACATAACTCTTCAGTGACACAAATGAGAAATCTAGTTAACACAGTATAAACTATGATGTTCAAGGTAATGCACTAAATCAACTTAATCACAACAAACTAACTTCTGAATGAGGCTAAACCATGTATTTACAAAACACAGCATTAGCTGGATTAAGAGACTGATTTCCAAGCTAATTTCATAAAGATGACAATGGGATCAAGAAGGTAGAGGACATGCTAGTTTCCAGGGTGACAGACACAGTATTTTACTCTAAGGTGTATTAACTGGAGACTTGCTGCTCTGCCCTGTAAGATGTTGCTATCCAGCAACAGCAATTATTGCATTCCACGCTGGAATGTCTACCTTGGGTATTGCAGGAAGTAAGGATGGAAGAAACAAACATGTAATTCCATAGTTCCCCTTTTGTCTCACCCCTGCCTTCTGCTTTCTCCATGGTTTAGTAATCATAGTTTGAACCATGATCCTGAGATTTCAGCTTCGTGAGTCACTAGGATTATAGGTGTGAGCCATTAGTGTCTGGCTACAGGGTATTAAGGTACATTGTTTAATTTTAAGGGGACATCTAGAGGTATACTGCAGTGTTTGGAGGGCTTCATACTTGTTGGCATCTTGTTGGCCTAGATAATGAGACCATCAATAATAGAGATATTGCATTCTGGTTAAATGCTTTCTGGAACATCGGCATGATTGACATTCCAGGCCAGACAATTCTTTCCTTTGGAAGGTTGCCCTGAGTGACGGTGGCACATTTACCATGGCTTCTGTCCTCTACTTACTGGGTTCCAGTAGCACTTTCACCAATAGTGACGAGTCAAAAGTATTTCCAGACATTGCAAACTGTCCCTAGGGGAACAAGATGGTCCTGGATATCATGTCAGTCTCAGTATCATGATCTCCCCACTTTAGGGGGGGAAAAAGTCTCAAGACATATGTTCAAGAAGAAGGGGGCAGGCATTATTGAATACAGGACTGCTATACACCAAAAAATAAAAATAAAAAACCTCATTCAACTCAGGAGCACTTGGTAAAGCTTAAGAGTTTAATGCTAGCCCTATCTTGGTGAGTGGGGCTTGGACAAAACTCTCTCATGTCTCCGTGGACACGCTGGGAAAGAACAAGCTTCATTGTCTCCCCTTCGTCTTGTCTCTCTTAGGGCTGACACTTACGTAAGTTTCCTTTTTGGAAACCAACTCTCTTTTCAGAAATTCTAATTCAATCAGATAGGAAACATATAGATTAAGAACACAGTGGAAAGCAAGCGTGGTGGTTCACACCCAAAATTCCAGCACTGGGGAGCCCAAACCAGCAGAATAGCAAGTTCAAGGCCCAACCTGTTCTATATCTCGAGACCCCATCTCCAAAATCAAACAAACATGCACCCTGACAGCACAGTGATGCTCATTTTCCTACTATTTAAATGGTCACATGCTTCCCCAAATCCTATAGACTCTAAGGATGAAGAAACTGGATGATCTTTCTTATTCATTTTTGGGTCAGGGTAAGGCACAAACATTATTTTGAATAACTCATAGAGAAATGAATGCAGAAACACTGCTAAGTAGTTAGGGCAATTCCATCAGTGGGTCTCCTTTGAAGAGAGTACCTCTCCATCACTTGGTAACTGGCTGATGGGGAGGAGAATGCTGTGGACCCCCCCCCCCCCATCCATCTGTGGGAATTACTTGTTTCCAACATCTTGGAAACTCCTGTAGGGAATCAGGAGCCTGTTGTGAAATTAAAAATCACTATGTCTTTCACATCTTTAATCTTCCTTAAAATACTTGGGAACCATTAACCATAATTTCTAAAGAAATAAAATGATACTGCTTTTTGGCATCTGATTTCAAATGCATTGACTCTTAAAGTGAAAAGAGAGAGAAAGAGATTCATCTTCCCAAAGGACCAGGAAATTTATTATCTGCAAATATGACACTGTAAATGAAATTAAACTTCAATAGGGAGAGCTTCTGTAACTTCGTCTGCATGAGTTATGAAGAGATTTTTCAAAGGAGAGAGAGAACAATCAGCCATTTTCCTCTTAGAGACCCAGAACGTGTGAGAAATTATGTTACAAATTACAGTGCCTGAGGCTGAAAAATGACAGAAATAACCACTGAAGCCCAAGAAAGTAGTTAATCAGCTTCATTTTAAGGAAGTAAGCACACATTCTATGTTTTAACATGGCCTGGGATTAGCCTTCAAAGATAGAAGAACAACATTAGAGCTTTTTGTTTTGTTGGACTTTAGTCAGCAGGAAACTATGCTTTTTCTATATATAGATAGGGGTATCGAGCCTTTCTGAACAGAGAATGTATTTTGAGTTTCTTTTTCCAGAAGTGGTAATGGGTTTAAGTTAATTCACTTCCATTTCATTGGTCCACTCAGGGACCAATGACCATCACATTGCTGAAATAACCATCTGGGATTTGGATGTGATGATTAATGCCACAAGATATACAGAGTCTGACCAACAGCCTATGCCTTTCAATGTTCTCCATTTCTGGCTATGAAATCCATCAGTGGTGGCTTTTACGCATGACTTTTTCTCTAGACCTCTGAGTGTGTCCTAAGTCATGTCTGGCTAGGGTGGTACCAGAGGGGAAGACACTGACTGAACTGTAGCCAGGCTATTCACCAGCTGTGCCCTTGGGTCCTTGGTTTCCTTTCAGATAATGGGGAAACCTGCTTGCCTACTCTCATCCTGCTATAGGAGACATGCTGGTGGGTGTGTTTCTTCCACATTAGCCTTGATAGGAGCTGCTGTTTAACTAGGATGCTCTTAAACATGGCGATTTATCATAATCTAGTCATTGTGTTATCTCCAGTGATGACACTTTAATGGATAAAGTATTATTCATTAATAAATGGATACAATGGAGAGATTATTCATTAATTTATTACAACACTTCATTTAGTATGTATGTATGTATATATGCATGCATGTACATATGTATGTATGTATGTATGCATCCATCTATCTTTAAGTCAGGATCTCTTTATGTAACCTAGCCTGGCCTCAAATTCACGATCCTCCTGCTTGTCTCCAGACCTCTGATATTACAGAGATGCACCACCACATTCAGTTTTTTAAAAAATATTTTAACTAGGAAAAATTCTGTACAACGATTCCTAGGAAAACAAAAAAAACCCCAATACTTATGAATTGTGATAAAGCAGTTTCTATCGAAGACAAGAATTCAAGTGCAGATTTTTTTCTCTCTTTCTTGAAAATCACTTTGTTTTATGTTTGTATGGTCTCACTTGAACTTTACACCTACCAGTTAGATTGCTCACCCTGACACATTACATCCCTTGAAATAGCAGGTAAAGCTGAAAAAGCAATATGTATGTAAAGTTAGCATTTAAAGATGATAAAGATAGACCTTACAAATAAATAACTAACCTAAGAGTTTGACAATTGTAGGATAAAGGGTTAAGCAGAATTGCATGAGAATTTGAAGAGATGGTGTTAAGAGAAGAAAACTTTCCCCTGGAAATACACTTTATTTA